ACAACGAGAACAATACTGAAGGTGTAGATATACAACTGAGACAACTTCATTCAGTTTCTCAATGCCTTCATTTTGGTTGCTGTTGTTTTTTGATATCAAATTAATAAGTTTCTAAATAAATCTTAAAATTTAGCATTCCTATATCTTCAATATTTCTTTTCACTGCACTTGTCTTAAGTAAGTTAAGCTACATCCGGCAGCAAGACCTCTAATTGGGAGCTTGGTGGCTTTTAGGAGCGTGGAATCACTTCTTAATTATTGTTGTTCCTTGGCCCGAGGTGGTAGCACCTGTTAGGGTCCCAGCTATGGGCAAATAATGAGCTGCCAAACAAAAAATCAACAGTACATTTTTATAATAAAATGGAGCAACAATAGACTTTTTTTTAGCAAAATAACAATTAATACACACTAAAAACATAAAAATACATTTTTATATTAAAATTACCAACAATACATTTTATGATCTACAAAATATATAATCTAAAAGACCTACCTTTACTCTGAAAGCATAACATTATGTACAAAATATGTAGATTTCAGCATTAAAAACTTCATAGAGAGTGATATGTCTCAAATAGCCTCTAACGATTAAATCCAGCTCCTGAGAATGCAAAGGTGGTAAACTGGCACATCATAACCATTTGCTTTTTGATTAGATGGAACACGACAGCCCAGGAATGGACAAAGGTTAAAAATGGTTAGAAAAACAAATTCTCTGGAGAGTTGTATTGTTGTGGCAAAAACAAGTTTAATGAAAGAGATAAGGTATGCCCTCCTCTTTTACATTTTAATCCTTGCTTATGGCTGTGAGTACTGGACAATTTCCTCAAAGATGAAGAAGAGACTTAAAGCAACAAAAATGTGGTTCTACAGAAGGATGCCGAGTATACCATGGACCAAACAACAAAGTTTTAGAGAAAATGGAAAAAGAAAGCATACTTAACATCAGGAAGGAAGTTGTGGTTTCTAGGTTACATAATGAGGAAAAAGGGCTTAGAAAATCTGATACACACAGGGCAGATTGGAAACAAGAGAGACAGAGGAAAATAATGCATAATATACTTAGCTTGAGTAAATGGATGGCAGAACAGAGTTTAGGAGATAGAACAGAAAAACAAAATTTATTAAGAATTACATGGGACAGGAAGTTATGGAGAACCATGAACGCCTACATCCTGAGGGAACACAGCATATAAAGAAGAATTGACATTGATCAGCTTGGTAATTTGGAAATCTTCATGAAGAAAAATAGCTTTTCAGCAAGGATCGAACTATGCCTAGAGTAGGAAATTCAAGTGGACTTAACAAAATAGATGTCTTGCTGAAAATGTTGTTTATACTGAAATCTTATTGAGGTAAGACAACTTCTATTACAACTTATTTTTTTTCTGTTGGTAGGATGAGTAATTTTTAAATTCTGAATCAAGTGTTTTGTTTGGTCACATGAATTGACATTATTCCATTTATTTAAGGTATTGAGGTACAAGGGGAATAGGAAGAAAATAAAATACTCAGATAAAGAGATGCAAACTATTTATGTCAGATTGTTAATGCTTTTCACTGCATATACTTAAAAATATATATATATATATATATATATATATATATATATATATATATATGTATTAAAATGCCATATCCAACCAGGAAGTAAGGCAATCATAATTCTCCACAGACTCCTTTTCTTTATTATCTGTGAATTGGCATGCATTCTTGGGAAAGATAGTGGGGAGGATTACCACTGCCGGCACCACTGTTTGAAATTCAAATTTTCCTTCTCTTACACTGGTTGCCACACAAGGCTAAAGAATGAACTACTATTTAACCCATAACTAGTGGGGAGAAATTACAGATTCATAGTTTTCCCAAGAAAACTTATGTGAAATTGAATGAAACAGAGTAGGCCAGAATCTGAACTTAGAAACATTTGACTGTGTGAAGATGGTAGATAAGTACCCCTATATATATATTAAAATTTGCAATATTTGTAAGTGAAAAGTGATCAAAATTGGAGACAGAATGTTTGTAGATATGGACAGTCTGCATGGTGACTTAATCGTTTAATTGATATTGGAAGTTTTAAATAAGGGGTTTTATGCTTGCCAAAAATATTCATTTTATTTACCTTATTTTCGCAAATCAGAAAACACTTAATGAACCAATTTTATCTGATTTACTATTTGTATCGAACACACTGACATCTGTGAGTTGTCTCAAAGGAAACATATTATGTCCACCTGCATAAAATAATAGAAATCAAAATTTGATTTGTTCAATGAGAACAAAAATTTAATTACATATTGAAATTGTTAAGTGCCATCAAGATTTATCAAACTATTTTCTTGTTAACAAGCGGACATGCACAAAAATTGAAAACCTAATTACAGAAATTTTCAGATCTATAGAACAGTATTCTGACATTCTACTTTCATCACTGGACATTGGCACTGAGTAAATATAAATAACTTGCCATATATTTTTGGCAATTTTGTTCTCATAATCTTCTGAAGTGTCTGCCTTGAGGCTCAGACAACAGAAAGTTTGTCTCCAGCATTAGGAGTTGCAGATGAAAGACAAGATTTAAAATGTTGCTTTTCAAACCTGGCAAACATTATTTCTGGAAAATTTATATTAATACATTTGTGTGTTTCTAAAATCTGCAATCTCCCACATTGTATGTGACTGAATTCAAGCTAACAGTAGCAACAGCTAAAATGGATATCACATGTCACTTGAAGAGAAAATATTGCTATAATTAAGATGTTGACATTCGATGACATTACTTCAAACAAAAAGTTAGGAATTAAACTTTCATCAATACTGGAAAGAGCAATAACATCAACTGGACCTGAAAAATCTATTTTCCTAAAAAAAATGTTTTAATAGAAAGATTTTATAAATTTAAACTAAAAACAACACTGGCTATTTGGTGTATGAATGATGAATGTTTCCTTATTAGTAACAAAGGAAAGCATGCTGAACTGTGGTGTAATATTGGTCCTGTTATATGGCAGTTAATGTTGGATAATCTCCTCACATATGAGGAAGAGATTTGATGTGACAGAAATGTGGTTCTACAGAACAAGAAAATTTAAATGAAAAATGGAAATAAAAAGAATGTTTATACTTAGAATCAGAAAGAGATCTTGGAGAAATTGACATTCACAGGACATATTGAAGGCATGAGGGAGAGAAGAAAACAGAAAGCAACTTGCTTAACAAGCTTGTGTAAATGGATGGCAGAACAGGGATTGGTAGGGGATAGTAAAAAGACAGAGTGACAAAGGATAAGAGAATTTGCAGAGTCATGATTACCCATGTCTTGAAAGGACATGGCACATAGAAAAAGAAGACCTTCCAGTTTTTTTCAGGTATCTGCCATTAGTTATGAGTTATCTCCCCTATCTTGAACAGTAGAATGAGAACCAACTACCCACTTGATAGGACAAAGGCTTTGGTAACTATGGCAGACATCTGATTGATTGATTGACTTGTTTGCTTGTTTAATGGCATATCAACACCTTATGGGTCATTTATTGCTGAAATTTAATTTTCTTGGGAGCTTTGAAGTAATAAAAATGTGATAAATGTTATTCTGTTTTCATAACTGAATACATGGTAGATGATACTCAGCTTTTATGCATATACATTTGTGTGTGGACATAATTACTAGAGGCTGTGATATGTGTATGTTTCATGTTGTAATTTTGTTGGAGTTATATTTTGGAATATAGTTTGATTTAAGAAATATTATATGGGTGAATGTTATGAAAGAGTTCTTTCATGCTGGTTGACTAATTTTGTTTAGTGGCATATTGACATGTCTATGGGTTTTTTTTAATGCAGAAATCTAAATATTTTGTATATAATTTTATGCATTCAAGTACAGATATTTTTTTTACATAATTTTATACTTTCAGAGTAAAGGTACGACTTTTAGATACATATTTCATAGATTATAAAATGTATTGTTGGTAATTTTAATATAAAAATGTATTTTTATACGTTATTGTTGCATTGATTGTCATTTTGCTATAAAAATCTATTGTTGACTAGCATGTTGCAGATTCTCTTCATGTTGACAGTTGGACTGAAAAGTCTTGGTCCTTTCCTCAGATGGTCCTATGCCAGGAAGGCCGATTTGCAGCAATGGTTTCCCAGGTCTTAGGGTTGATGTTGGCCTGTGTCAGGGGTGTTGTTTTGAGCCACCATGTAGCTTCTTGCTGCTGGCGATCTCTCTAAACTGGATGAGGGTCAAGTGGGATGCATTCTGAACATGTGACACACTCAGCAGAAGCAATATTGAAGGATGGTAGCCTCAGGTAGATTCTGGGGAGAAATTTCAAGAGAGGATCTAGTTGTTGGTGATGTGGTCCTGCCAACTGATTGCAATACAGTAAATGCCGTAAATAGTGAGAAGCTTGAGCTTGATATTTGTAGGTGTGACACCCCCTCAGAACAGCTCCAGTTTGGCACTGTCAGAGTTCAAGTTATTCCCAAATTTGAAAGAGATGTTAAAAGATTAACATTTTTCAACAAAAACTTAACTTGAAAATGCTGGACATGGAGAGAATGAAAAAATGACTTGAAAATGATAATGTTGAAAAATGAACTAGTAATTTTATAGAGCAATAAATTTACTTCCTTTTGACACCAATTTCATTAGTCTGCCTAGACATAGATTGGAAACCTGACTTATCAATCTATCCTTGCCATGCCTCTTTAAAAATATATATATATATATATATATAATAAGTAAATAACAACATTTATACAATACATCAACCATTCCAATACTTGATGATCTCTAGCTTATGGGTAGCTACCAATCTTACCTCAATCAAGAAAGCTTTTTTTTTGTCTGACCAGAAACCTATACTAGTTTATGATTCTCCAAAGGATGTAACACTCATTTCACCTTGATTGATTACAAACCTGCTAGTATTTCAACCCAAAGACCAATATGATAACCATTGGTAAATTCAAAATGGTTTACCAACCTTTTCTTTTGGCTGTTGTTGCGTGAGGTTTACTATCCACAGATTTATCTTCGACAGAGCCACTTCGACCTCCTGATGTCAAGGAGGAGCTGCCACGGCGTTGAGCTCGGGAAGGGCTCTCTGAGGCCTGCTGCAATAGAAGAAAGAAAGAGACTGAAATCAAGAGAAAGCAAGGAGAATCAAAGAGTCGGGGAGCCACATAGATAATCACTGCAAAGCACATATTCATATTATCATATTATGATCATAACTGGACCCTGACATACTGTCATGTGTGAACATCAATCAAAACTCCTGATAGGATATGCCAGTGGTTAAAGCACCGAAAGATAGCAGATTGAGGACCTATAAGATAGGAAAGATCTACTTTTGAACTAAGGGAAGTGTTAAGTAGTGTAAAATCCATGATTGCATAAAATAGTTAACTTGAATTTTTAAAAAGTGTCTATGGTCTTTAATCAAACATGTATTAATGAAAAACTATTGCTAAAATACATACTTAGATATATTAAGAGGTTCAATCATATATTTAAAACTTTTTTTAAAATTCATAATTTATGATTATAATTTTATCAAGTTCTCAGTCAAATTCTATCCATGATGCTATAAAGAAGGCTGTCGATGTCGGGGAGTGCCGGGGGGGGGGGGTGTAGGGTTATCTCCTTTGCTTTTTATCCTTGTCATGGCTATTGAGCTGAACTGTGTGTGATTTGTCTAAAACCATTATTACTATTAATTTGCAAAATAAATAATAAAACTTTATCTTTTTTTTCCTAAGCATTAGCTTCTAAAACTTCTATATCAGTTTTAGATGCAGAAAAAATCTATGGTTCATTCAAGAAAATAAGTACAAGCAAAAAAAATTGTGTATTTAAAATCAAAACAAAGAAAAACAATCAGAATGGAATACATCTAAAAATTATTCATTTTATGAAATCAGATAAAAAACAAAAATCATGATTCTTTAAAACTTAACCTCTTACTTAGTCACCTTCCCATTGACACACATTTTAATTCTGTGGCACTGTGTCTGAACTAAACCTTAAATCCAAGGTTACCAGGAGGGGAAAAAAAAGGTCTAAATTGACTAAGCTTAGTTTTTGTTCAGAAAAACAGCAGTGTTGTTAAGAGGAGCCCACTCACAAGTACCACATTCCAAGATAAACTTGTTAACCATATATGCTAAGTCCTTATGATGAAAAGCACAAATCTGAATGAGATCTACTTTAGCTTGGTAAGAGGGATTTTACAAGTATTTAACAATTAATAGATACATTTAAGCTCATTGAGGAGTTTAACAATTTCCTTTATGTTGCTTTGTTCATCATGATGCTGAAACAGTAAATACTAATTTTGAAAATGTGAAGGGTAGACAGCATTCAAAGTTCTTGACCCTGATCTTGATAATGGCCAGAATTATAGTCAAAAGTGCTACATCACAAATGTCTGGACTATATTCACATTCAATGAATCAAGACATACATTTTCTTCTATGTAAAAAAAGTAAATCCTTTTCAGAACAGTTTTATTACTCTGGTTCAATTGAAGAGGTAGACAAGTAACATGAGGTTTAAGGCTCCAAGTTTCCACCATTGAATGACTTAGTGGATAAAAGTGCTCATTAAGTAAATTGGTCATGATGCCACTAGTACAAGTAGTGTAAAAACTGTCATATATATTCTGGAGAGAGAATAAATACATAATGAAATAATAAGAAATAATACCTGAATAATAATAATAAATTAATAAAATAAAAAATAAGATAAAATAATAAATAAATAATAATAAGAAGAAATAATACATAATATAATAAATACATAATGGAAACAAATGAACTTTGGAAGAATTAACTGATATAAGAAACCACAAAAGGCAGAAAGAGAACAAACAATCTACTGCTATGAATTGAATAAAGGGTTTTGTTCATAATTCCTGGAAGGTTATGAAGACACCTGAAGATGACTGAAATATTTTCTTTTCTTTTAATGCCATGATCTTTCAGGATAGAGGCAATAATGCCTCTCCACAGATTCCTTTTTCTTTATTATCTGTGAATTGCCATACCTTCTTGGGAAAGGTAGTAGGCTGGTTTCCCATTACCTTCTCCATGGTTTGGAATTCAGAATTTTCCTTGGTTGCCACAAAACATTGTGACAAGAACAATCAAAAAGAGGATACTAGTCTGAGTAAGTCAGTGAATAATAAAGAAAACTTAGTTAAAAATATTGAAAAAGTATTGTCTATCATTTTTAATCAATTTATTTTTATTAATAAATAACTACAACTTATATACATGTTATATATACATTTATATATGTATGCATATACATACACACATATGCAAATATATTTGTATATGTGTGTGTATATATACATGTGGATTATGGTACAAAGAAATTCTACACTTGACCTCATAAAGGTGCCAAGTTTGTTCTTATATGCTCATATTTTTTAATCATCTTCTCAGTTGAACTGATACATATTTGGCTTTCCTTTGTATTGTCAACTAACCGGTAAGACCTCAAGAATGCTTGCAGTCTTCCAATCTAATCTGTCTTCAAAATTTTATTTTGGCAATGACCTTAAGGTCATTGGTTCTCAGTTGGCTATTTACCAACAAAAGTCAGGGCAAAGTGTCAAAAGATTAGCCCGGTTCTTCACAGTTAAATGTCTTGACCTTTTTTCTTTGCCATAGAGAAATCACAGTACCACAATGTTTACACAAAGTGCCAACAGAAAAGTTAAACAAGATGGTCAGCCATTTTGAGTATGTGGCAGCAAAATGAAAAGTATCCACAAAGGATTTTGTTTAATATATTTCTTACACATCAAGATCTATATGGGTAATATCTTTTTAAACAACATGTCCACTTATGACATCGGCAATCATTGCACTCAAGAAATTCCTTTTTCAATTAATATCTGTAAACTGTGAATCATTGTGACTCTTCTTGGGAAACATATTGGAGTAGTTTTCCATTGTCAATGTTAATATTACTTAAATGTATTGATGAGTACAATTTTAATATTACTCAAATGTATTTGTGAATATAATGTTAATATTACTTCTATGTAATGATGAGTATGATGTTATTGCTTTGATATATTGATGGGTACAATGTTAATATTACGTCAATGTATTTGTGGGTATATTGTTAATATTACTTAGATGTATTGATGGGTACGATGCTAGTATTATGTAAATGTATTGATTGGTATGAAGCTAGTATTTCTTAAAAATCATTGTTTGGGTGATAGTACTGCATGCAGTAAGAGGAGAATAGTTAATAATGTTCTAGTCTATGAAACACAACAGAATTTGATCAATGGCTGCTTTAGTATTGGGAAAATGAACATTGATTAAAAGCAGAATAGTTTTGCAGTGAACTGAAGAAAATAAAAAGCAGTAATGTGTGTGTGTGTGTGTGTGTGTGCTTGTGCATATATGTGCAGTTTATTGCTCAAAAGAATGCGTAAATAAGAGAAAGAGTGCCTAAAATTAACAATCAAATTGTAATCTAGCATATTCTTTAACAAAGAACATTTGAATGCAACCATATTTGTCAAAATATAAGGTTGTTTATATATCTATATAAATGTCTGCAGTCATTGCTCTTTTCTTTAATGTGTTGTCCTTTCAGGATGTAGGTGATCATGGGTCTCCACAACTTCCTATCTTATGTTGCTTTAAGTAACTTTTGTCTCTTTGTCCTTCTTCTGTCATCCATTCATTCAAACTCATTAAATAGATTACTTGTTGGTTGCCTTTGTTTTTCTTGCCTTCAATATGTCCTGTAAGTGTTAAATTCTCCAAGCTGTTTTTCCTCATGATACATCTCAGAAATTGCATACATCTGAGTATGATATGACATAATATATTTTTGGCGATTAAGCATATTCATGTAATATAGAAATCCATTGTCAGGCAAAAGATTTAATTTTCTATCAAAAGCTTAACAGAGCAGCTCACTAATCCCTGGTTTAAAACAATAACTCAACCTGAATGTATTTTTTTTTTATGTAAATGTTTAATTTTTATCTACCTGGCTACTTAATACTACACTTTGATCTTATTGTATTCATCATGTTGACAAATCACTGAACTAATCATAGTACAGTATAAATCTGGCGCAGGTGAGGGATTTCAAAGAAGTAAACCATATATGCTTGAAGTATGTTCAAATATTTTTACCAAAAAATCAATTCTATTTCAAGAGTATAAGTAAAATTGTTATGCTTTCTAATGCAATACAGCGCCATCAATTGGGAAACATTTTCTCTTAAAGACTTTCACCCATAAATTTAGGTAAAGAAGGAAAAGCAAAAATAAAAGGGAAAATTGTAGTCATCTGTTAACTCAGGCTTTGAGGAGTTTTATACATTTATTAATTTTTTTTTAAAATATTCTCAAAATACTATTATGTTGAAAGCCTTATGTCTACATCATGTTTTTATTTCTTTTACTTGTTTGAAATATATTTGTAAAGTAGCTTGGCTTAATAAAAGTTTTGTTGCTTTGGCCAACTATGGTCAAGTAAAATTGCAGTTGATTTGTGGATGGTCATTGCCAATTGTCTATATAACCAGATATTGCATGATATTTTTCTCAAGATACTGATCAGACTCTGGCTGCAAGGTTAGAGATTCCTGACAGGAAGTTATTAGTTAAAGCAGAGTCTGAGAATTTATCAGTGATCAATTTATCTGAGTCCAACCATGTCTGCCTGTGAGGGGGAAAATGTCTTTGAATATTTGATAAGTAATACTATTCACTGATAAGTGTGTATTGATGCCAAGTCAATAAGAAATAGTCATGGGAGACAACTGGCTATTGATATTAACCCTTTTTTTCCTTAGAGGACATAGTAAACACAAATATTCCGTGGACAGTGTGGGTAAAGGTACTTGAATATCAAGAATAAAGGAAACAGAATTGGCAAGGTGGAACAGATTGGTTTCAGCCCAAGCATAAAAAGATAGAGGGTAGCAAAAAGAGTGGAAGAGTGAGACAATGTCAAAATTGAATCTAAAAAAAGAAAAAAAAAAAAAGGAAGACAAAAAAAAACGAAAAAAAAAACAGGTCAACAAAAGACAGAGGTCAGCATTAATATACAAATAATTTAATTTCGATAGTGATCATTTTAACAAGTGAATTGACCACCAGAATGATGGCAAGGAATATTTTTTTTTTACTGCTGTTCACCTAATACAAGGCTCAAGAGC